GCTGGGTGGGGCCAGGCTTGGGCTGGCTGTGGGAGCTGTGGGTCGGGAGTGAGGGGTGCTTGTCCATAGGGAGGGACTGGACAGAGCCAAGCCGCTGTTAGAGGGATAGTTGGAGGGTTTCGGGGAGGGGGTGCCCCTGCCCTGGTCTGGTCATTTCTGAGCAGAGCCCAGCCCCCTGCGCCTAACCAGCACCGAGCCCCAGTGCCCGGCTAGGCCGTGCCTGGGGAAGCAGCAGCCGGGGGTCTGAGTCTTGTCTCCCTGCTCCGTGTGGCTGGTGGGGGCTGGAAGAGAATTTGTGCGGGACGGGCAGGGAAAAGGCTGTTGTGAGCACAGTTTCTCAAAACTGAAATTACTAAAAAATTATTTGAGGTCCACCATGTCTCAAAATCATTTATCAGGACTCGCATTCATTTCAATTGAAAGAACCATTGCAAAAAATTTAGATTTTAATGAATTATTAAAAGGCTACGCAAGTATAAAACCCAGAAAAAATTCAGTTTGTATAAATTCTTTTAATTTATGAGAAACTGGGCGCACCGGAAGAGACTAACGTTTTTCATTACAGTGTATAGTTGAACCCAAATTGTTTGTAACTGTGATTTTGGACCTGAGTGGTCGGATGTGGGACTCAAAGCTAAGGTACCTGCCTTGGGCTGAAGGAGCCTGGCTGGGGCTGGGGGGAGAGGCAAAGGCGTCAAGGGGTCCAAAGGAGGAGGCGAGGGTGCTGAAGGCACAGCTGAGGCGACAGGGAGCCCTGTTTTTAGATTCCCAAGCGCTGACCTGAGTGGTCGGATGTGGGACTCAAAGCTAAGGTACCTGCCTTGGGAAGTCAGGCCCTGTGTGTTTGAGGGGCAGGGGGTGCCTGCCATCGGGCAGAGCAGGTCAGAGAGCTTAGGGCCATGGAAGGAGGGCGCTGGCTCTAATCACCCGTCTGCCAGCATCACTGGAGGAGGTTCTGGTCTTGCTGTCTGTTGCCCCCAAGCCCAGCGACTCCATTTTCACTGCCTTCAGGAGGCTGAGGTACCAGCGGGCCAGGGCCGGCACTAGGCACCAGCAAATCAAGCACGTGCTTGGGGCAGCACATTTCCAGGGGCGGCATTTCCAGGTAAGCAGCTGCCCCCGGCAATACCTGGCCCCACCCTGCCAATTTTAAAGGGCTGCGGGAGATGCCACTACTCGCTGCGCAGCGCTGGTACCATGTGCGCCCGGAGCCTGCTGGCCGCCCTCTGCCTCCTGCTGCTGCCCCGCTCCCCCGCCTACTTTGGGTTAGCCCTGCCCGTGGGGGGCCGGGGCAGGTTCGTGGGGGGATGGCCCTGGTGCATGAAGCCCAGTCTCCACTGCGGCCAGAACCATGGCGGCTGCAGGGGGTTCGGGCACCCGCCGGGGTCTCTCTGCCCTGGGCACGTCCACGCAGACCTTGCTGGACAAGGCCCTGCAGGCGCTGGAGAAGCTGCAGGTACTGGTGGAGCAGCCGGGCTTGGGGCTGAGGACTCAGCAGGACCGGCTCTGGCGGTAACTTGCTGCTTCGTGTGAGGCCAGGAAGGAAGTGCTGTGAGAACGGCCTGGCCCAGCTGCCTATGGCGCGGCTCCCCTTCCCCGCACCAGCTCCACGGCTGTGCGCCCCACAGGTCCCGCTCCCCCTCCCCCTCGGCACTGCTGCGGGACAGGGTGCTGGGGGAGATTTCCCTGAAGCAGGTCAGCAGTCTGTCCAGGGGGGAGCTGTCTGCAGGTTCAATAATACAACCCCCCCGTCCAGCATCAGGATGGGGCATGTCATGGGCCCCCGGGGGATTTCAGGAGCTGGCAACATCCACTCGGCCCAAACATTTTTAGGTTAAAAAGAGGGCGATTAAGATGAATTGAAAAGGGTCAAATCTTCATGGCTCTTTCTCACTCTGCCCGGCCCCTTTCTTTCCCAGAAGCAGGTGTGGGAGTCA